CTTTACTCTACATTATATATACGCATGCCATACCTATCAACTCCGAAACATGACCGCCACCTACGCTGATGAAACAACAATTTTAACAAAACACCATAACCCCAGACTAGCCTCAAGAAATTTACAAAATCATTTACTGACTTTACAAAATTGGTACTCACTTTGGAAAATAAAATTAAATCATGACAAGTCACAGCACATAACATTTACACTTCGACGAGAAACCTGCCCACCAGTTTATATAAGAGTGAACCTAATTCCTCAGACAAACACAGTAAGTTACCTGGGACTAATATTCGACAGAGGGATGACCTGGGGCCCACACGTCAAAATGAAACGACAGACAACAAGTGGCTGAAAATACTGTACTCACTTTTTTTCTAAATTGAACTTGAAAGTTCGACAAAAACTAAATACCTACTCCAACTCAAATCCATCTGGACATACGCTTCTCAGATTTACGGTTCGGCAAAAAAGACGCACTTACAAAAACTACAGTCATTTCAATCCAAAATATTACGACTTATAACAGGAGCTCCCTGGCACATCAACATCAAAAGTTTACACAACGACTTACAACAACCAACTATAGACCAACACATAGTACTCTCTACTTTCGTTTTCATTTTAAACTACACGGACACACAAACAGACTTATAAACGACGAGGCCACGAATGACGTACCCAGAAGGAGACTAAAAAGGAGCTGGATGAGAGATCTCCTCACCTAAATCAAAGAAGTAAATAATGGCCAGGAATAACTCCTGCTGGGTATTATCCTTACTCATGCCTATGATGTAAATTCTTATTTTATCACAACTCATCTGCTAATTGTCAATACCATGACAGGTGCGGATACATACCTAAATAGAAAAAAAAAGTATATATGAATGTATTATTGTAGGCAGGAAAATATGAGCAATGGTAAATTTTAGCCAACAAATTTTTTAAAAATGTTTTTTGAACTATACTATTTAGAAGGCTAGATAATTGTATGTGAATTTAATTTGTGTAAGAGCATTTTTTTTTTTACCATCTCACACAAGTCATTTCTATATATTAAATTATGGGCCTCACTGCTCCTTACTTTGTCACAAACAAAATCATCCATAACGACCTTAATGTTCCTTATGTTTCTGACTTGGCCCAATCCAGATACCTATCCTTCCATAACAAACTTCAGAACCATCCAAACCCTCTCGTTTCTAACCTTGCTTCCTCTTCGATCCCTGACAACCCTCAGAGGCGTCTGAAAAGAAGATGGCCTCGAGATCTCCTTTTGTAAATACATTTTTAGAGTGCTACCAATGGGTAGTTTCTCAACATGTGATTTCATGCTATTTTATTCCTTTGTTCACATTTACTGAATGTATTTTTACTTGTAATACAGTTGTAAATATCACCAATAAAAAAAAAAAAAAAAAAATTATGGGAAAGAAATCCAGCAACTCAACTGATTTTCAAATTCTACTATTTGAATGTTACCAGTGGATAGTTTCTCAATAAGCGATTTCATGTTATTATTTTCTGTTATCAAGTTTACTAAATGTATTTTATTTACTAATGCAGTTGTAAATATCATAAAAAAAATTCAACTAAAATTCCTCAGGTAACCACGAAAGAAACGAGATATTATTCAACCAATAAAACAACCATACATACCACATTTAACATTGTCCAAAGTATGTTACCGGAAATGTCAAGATGCAACAGGGAAAAAAAAACGGAATTCTCAAAACCATGTTCTATGTTATGAAATAATTCAAAAATACACCGCCACTCCCCTCTGTATTAACTCCTTAACATCCCACTTTCCATTAATAACATACTCACTTCGTCTATATTGTCTGATAATCCAACCTTTGATCATTGTTTGAACAGTTTTGAAATATGTTATTTTATGAATATGATCCCATAGGCCTCGAAAATATTTTTTCCTGGCCTCGCTACATTTCATGTTCTTTATGCATTCGTTCGCTGAAACATAAAGCCACCGAACTCGTAACGATGTTGGCAAATACGAGAAGAATGATATAACAAGAAACCGCAATATTCTGCAACAGAGAAAGTTAAATAATAAGCCGCATAAGAAACTGGTAGCGGGAGCGGGTAGCTACGGAAGGCGGGCTCACGTACACAGAGCTAGCCAGGAATCGATAACATACTTTTTTCAAATCGATGTAGAAACATTTCGATCAATCCAGGCACATAATAGAGTTTTCTTTACGAAAATCATTACCGAGAAAAATCTATCAAAAAAAGTCTATTTGTAAAATGGAATGCCTGTTATGGATTTACAAATTTGTGGCTGTATTAAAAAATAAAAAATTAACGTAAGACACTTATTATACGACTCAAACTACTTTACTTGCTTTTTCCCAAATTTTCAAAACTAAAACTAAAACAAAAACTGAATACATATACATACTTAATTAAACCCACAGGGATATGATAATCACAAATATACGGTATCGCTAAAAAGATCCACCTACGAAAATTCAAACCTTCCAATCAAAATTATTGCGACTCATAACAAAAGCATCCTGTTACGTGACTAAGAAAACTCTACATACTGACTTCCACCCTGCAATAGTTGACCAACATATAATGAATGACCCTTTATCAACGATTTTGCACAAAGTTAAACAGACACAATAACAGACTAATAAGAGACATGGCCACAGCTGACATACCTCAGAACATGAGGAGGAGACTAAAAAGGCGTTGGATGAGAGATCTTCTTCCTTAACAACCTAAATAATTGGAACAAGTTAGGGAAGAGGTACTGCTGAGTACTTTCCATCCCCATGCCTGTCATGTCATTATTTCATGTATCGCCATCACATTTGCTGATTGTCAACAATAAGTTGGAAGGCGCAAATACATTTATTATAGACAAATAAAAAATTAATTACTCTTTTAAAAGATAAATGTTAAGAATAACCGACAATTTAACAACATTATGTCCAGTAGATAGCATATGTAAGTAGAATAAATAAAAAATTGCATTTTTGTGCATTTTACATATTTTAAGAAATGCATTCTACTAACCTTTTTTTTAGAAAAAATAATAGGATTTTATATATTAAGAAAAAAATCGAATATTCTTACAATAAAGCTGTTGTTATGATAAGTGATTGTTTAGAAAAAAGAATATCATATTTAGCCGAGAAATAAAAAAAAGAAACAATTGCTTCATGTTTTTCGTTTCAACCCAGAGAAATGAATCATAAGAAATATATGAGTTCCATCACAACTTATAAAATAACGATATATCATAAAAATGGGACATAAAAATAAAATAATAGTGTATATAGCTATGTATTTGTTCTTTTTTATTTATTTATTTTTAGGTTATTTTATTCTTATTTATTGTATATATATTATTTCTCTGAATAATTTATTTTTATTTATCGTACATAGAGAGTGAATGTAATCACTGAACATTATTATAAATATCCTTTGAGATAGATTTTTACAAATATACTCCAAGGATAAGTATTATGATTTTTAAACTTGTTTCAAATGAAGACAATTGCTTAATGTTGAATCTGATTCTGAGCAATGATTTAAAGATAAAATAATATAAAGAAAACATTAAAAAAAAATGTTATAATTTTATAAATTTATAAAATTTTATTTAACATTATTATAAATTGTAACATTAGCTTATATGTTTAAATTAAATCAATTTATTGTTATTTAATACATATGAGTTTATTAACCCTGATAACTCTTTCCCTAAAATCACAGTTCTTTTCTGGAAAAAAGGATTAATTTTTATTTTAGCAACAGAAAAATCTGTTAATTAATTTAAGAACGATAATGTTATTTATTTCCCTAACTATACCTGCACCACAGGTTCTTTGAAAAACTAATATTAATTAAGGTACGCCTGCAAGCATCCATGACGTTGAACCCGCAAAACAGAACGGTATTGATAGTTTAACAGTTTGAAGGGACCTCTTAATCTGAATAAGAGACAACTGACATATTTGTGGTTATTTTATATTTTAAATTCTAATGTGCTTGAATTACCTTAATGCCTGCTCATTAATATAGTCAAGAATACCAAAGTTTTTAAATCATGGGCTACGATAGCTAAACCAAAATTTAAATGATATTTTTGTGACCTGTGAACACTATTATAAATGTCCTTGAGACAGATTGTAATATTTTTCAATAAATAAGCTTATAAAAAAAAAGATATTTCAAGAGGCATTGTGGTTAATGTGTCAAAGACTGTTAGTTACAACCATACTACCTTTTTTTTTCTGGCTTTTGCTATCTTTTACTTAAGGGTGTCATGGTGGATAACAACTACAATCATTTGGAATACCTAAGACAAATTCCTACAATAATTAATCTCCAATGATTAATTACAATGTCGGATTGAAATCATAAATTCATATTTTCTAATAAAAAAGAAAGAACGATATTAACATTATGGCGTAAGTACATCAAACGTTTACCATTGTTAAATGGGGAAGGGGGAGGAGGAGGGAAAGGAACCTATCATTGTAGAATAAAAAAATTACAAGTATCAACTTCTATTGTTGAATTCACCTTTTTTGACATCGCAATCATACTATCTCTTCGATATCAGCAAACTTAAATATAGCATGAGAAAGCTAATGTTATGAAGCAAAATTTTTGGAATTCCCAAGGTTTTAATAATTCAATAAGTCATTCCCAGTTTTTCTAAAATTAGTCATTTATAAATAATTACTTTTCTCATGAATCAGTTACATTAGAGAAATTTACGGAATTATGGGAAAATCGTATGTTTTGGGGAAAAACCTAAAAACATCATATTTAACAATGGTTAGACGATTATGATATGAAGTATAGACAATTTGAGAGGTCAATTAATGTTATAAATGATGTACAAAAAGATAATATTTTTTTTATTGTAAAACGGAGAAAAGTTATTATATTTTAGGTGAAATAATGGTTAAATATTTTGGATTTTATTTTTAGTGATCATAAAGATATAATTATTATATCTTATTATTAAGCAGATTAGCATAAGATCTAGGAGACCTACCTGAGTCTTTCCCCTTCCCGCGCTTGAGGCTGTTGTTGATTTCCGTCTTCTCTCTCTTTCCGCTGGCTCGTACCGCCATGTTTGATTCCTTCACCTCACCCAAGTCCAATTTCGATCTTCTGTAGATGTCCTTAACCTTAAATAAGAAAATAAACGAAGGCTAGTATGAGAATATAGTTTTTTTACTTTGTGAGCTAAATAACATTTCCAAAATTTACACAAAAACAGCTAAATTGTTTTAAAGTGCAATCCAGGTGTGCCCAAAAGAGGGTTTTATCAAAAATTTTGATGGAGCACATTTTGATGAGGTTTTGAATTTTTGAGGGAGGCACATTCCTATGATAAGGATTTTTGAGATGAAAAGTTACAACCCAGGAGACACAAGGAAAGCATAGAACAGACCACTCAAATTGAAATTGTATATGAACTATGATTTTCTAAATTCTACTTTCGTTTTCACTGTTATTAAGAAGAGGAGAGCAATAAAATATCATTGGAAGAAACGGTTGTTCATGAGGAGATTGCTCCCCCTGCTACAAAAGCATTATAATTCTTATCTTCAGAAATAAAATACTTTTATTGAGACAAGTGCAACTCCAAACTTCCGATGGTAGGACACTTTAAGTGCCATCTAAATTTTGATACTGATATTGTACATACATTTATCTTTGAAGTTTACGTTATATACATTTATGTTACCTTTGAAACTATTTGCTAATACTTTCATATATTTATTATAAATTGATGAAACAATTCAAATATTGAGGAAATTATTTCTAGGAAAAGATTCTTGGAAAAAAAAAAAATATTATGGAAACCAGTTTCCGTTACTGACAAATCATTACTCATTGACAATGAAGATTGTATTTCGCTACTTTTTAAAAACTAGATCATATGAGAAACAGGATTATCGTGGGAAAGATTTCTTAAACTTTTGTATTTCAAGGACTTTCGTTCTCTGAAATTTTTAGTTTCTTGCCGAGCCTAAATCCTATTTAGCGATGTAATTATTTCCTAATAATTTGTTATTAACTGTTTAATTAGGAAACATTTTAAAAAGTTTTCAATGTGTAGAATTTTAAATTTTTTTTTATTATTTTTTATTAACGAAATTTATAACTGTAATCAATAATAAATACAATAAGTAAATATGAACAAGTAATATGACATGTAAAACATGAGGAGAAACTACCCATTGGTAGCACTCCAATTACATTTCTACATTAGAAGGTCCCGAGGCCATCTTCTTTTCAGACGTCTCGGAGGGTTAACAGGAATATAAGAGGAAACGAGAGGGTTCGGATGGTTCAGAAGTTTATTATGAAAGGACAGGTATCTGGATTGGGCCAAATCGGAAACATACGGAACATTAAGATCTTTATGTATGATTTCATTTGTAACAAAGTAGGGAGCATTAAGGATTTTACGAAGGAGTTTGGATTGTAGTGATTGGATATGAGAGGAATTTGATAGTTTAGTAGAGCCCCACAGTTCGACCTCGTAAGTCCAAATAGGCCTTATTATAGTAATATATATGAGTCTTTTGTAAATAGTTGGCAGTTTAGAGCGTTTGTCTAGTAAGTGCTGCAGTAGTCGGAAACGTCGGGCGGTTTCTAGTCGTTTCAGTCTGGTATGGGGGTTCCAAGTGAGTCGTTTGTCAAGGTGGAGTCCTAGGTATCGGATTTGGTCAACAGGGATAAGTGGGGTATTGTTAAAGGATACTGTAGGACTGGAAGTCATAGGTTTACGACGAAGAGTAAAGGTAATTTGATGGGATTTATTGGGGTTTATAATTTTAAATTTAAAATAGTTTTTTAATAGAAAGTGAAACGTTGATGAAAACCAGATAATTTTATTAAATTGTGCCTGGGAGCTATTGTAGGTAACAAAATTATATTTGACGATAGGTTGATATCGACAGCATACCTTTAAAGCCCTTAATAACTCACTTCACATGAACCTACAAGGTTTTAAAGGTAAACTATCGATGTGCCAATATCTAACAGGTTTTATGCTCTTGTTTTAGTTGTTATTTAGATTAGTTTCGTTCTTTTGTTTATATAGCTTTACTTTTAGTATTATTATTTTTCTGTATAATTTAATTATATTTATTGTAAATAGAGTGTGAATGAGCTCTTTGAACACTATTATAAATGTCCTTAATTGTGGTAGATTGTAATAATTCAGAATAAATAAGTTTAATATATTAGGTTAATAATTTGTGTGTTAAAACTAAAATATTTTAATGGTCTATGACTAATTATAAATTTTATAGACAATAATAAAAATTGGCTCATGAAGCTTAATCGATAGAAAATAAAAGGATAGTTAAGAAAATATAAACCTGGGCTAAGAACAATTTAAAGAATAAAAACTTTCTTTTATTTACATCTGATATGTAACGTATTTCACTCTAAGTCAGTATTTATATCCTGAATTGACTTTCACTTAAATCTTAAAATTATTTTTTAATTTAGTTATATAACCCGAAATTATTTTCAAATTGTTCAGTAATGATTTATTATTTATTGTAGTTCTGATGATTTAATTTGCCTACGTTTTGAAAGACCATTGACATAGTTATTAATTTGTTAATCAAACCTAAAAAAATATTTTAAATATTTGTCTGTACTGTATTCCATATGATTTGTTAAATAAATTCCTACAACAAACTAAACAAATAGAGCTACTCTATAGTTCAAATACTGTATTAACAGTTAAATGCGATAGTTTCATACTGACCTGACAACCTTCTACCCTATTGATCCAGTCGACTTCCTTGCCATCATCTAACGTCAGGTTCTCCTCTAGCTCTTCCTCTTCGTTGTTGTTGCCGTTGCTGTTGTTGTTGTTGTCAAAGTCTCCCCTCAGTTCGTGGGCTAGGTGTGAGAATCCCGGGTAGTTGGGGTTGGAGAAGCCCCTCCGCACTGTCTGCACTTCCTCCTCGCTATCGCTGGCCGAACAGGAGCTGCTGCTCGAACTGTCTTCCGTCTCTGAAACAAGGACAGCGAACTCGTGTAGGGCGGTTTCTCGAACTAGGAGAGTAATACACTGCGGTAGTGACGACCTAGAACTGTGTTCTTGCCGACCGGACGAGATAACTGGCTGAGTCATCTGACCAATTGAGTCAAACGGTTCAACTGCGGATGATGTATTCATTGCTGGGACTCAGTACTGAGGAATGTACAAAAAAGAGTTTATAATAGTATTAACGTATTAAACTTTAGTCACTTCAAGGATCTCGGAATTAATTGGTAGTCCAATGTAAATAGAAGGGGAATGTCATCTTAATGCACTGTTTTGAAAAATGGTAAAAAAAAAAGAAAAAATTACTATAACATAGCGAGGTGTCTTACTTTAGACAATCATTCTAACGAGAGCGGGCGGGGTGGCCGAATGGGCTAAAGCGTGTGCACAGCACCGCGAGTTGCCTTGCAACTGGACAGATTTGAGAAGATTAAAAAAGTATGCGTCCCGGTGCCGGAGGGGATTATAAATTCTCCGACGTCACCCCCCGGCCCGAGAAAATCCCGTATAGCCTAAAAGGCGAGGTAAGAAAGAACAAAAAAAAAATCATCTTAATGCATTACACATATAATTGACATTTGTGGGACAACTTTATTTGTATTAGCCCTGGAGCCAGGGCCCAAAAATCGACCTGATCGCAGGCGAAGGTTTGATTGTAATTTTTTTTTTTTTTAACTTATTTATTGAAAAATATTACAATCTGTCTCTAGGACATTTATAATAGAGTTCAGAGATCACATTCACACTCTATGTACAATAAATAAAATAAATTATACAGAAAAATAATATATATATGTACGATAAATAAGAATAAAATAACTTAAAAATAAATAAATAAAAAGAACACATACACACCTATATACAATATTTACAATTTGGCGAGAGAACCAGAAACCAGACTTGTCCCTCCAACTGTGGAGGGAAAAGTATGACTCCAGGATTTCCCTGCACTCCTCTCTCAACCGCGTCACTAGGGCTAAGCCCAGTGGAGATTGAGCAAGAGTGCTTTAGCCACATACACTCATGTCGTGAGTGGAGAATCTGGCCATTGCCAGAACTCCAATATTGATTGTAAATTACGAAAGTGAATGTTATTCTGAATAAAAAGAACCTTGTCTGCCGTTCCAGAGCCGCTGCTTTAAAAAATGACGGCTGATTTGAAGAATATTAGGCCAATAACTTGAGGATACTACAAATGGCCCTGTAACTTGTTAATGAGTACCCTTAGATGAAAATCCCACAGAATTAAAGCTGTAGAGAACTGACATTTTTATTACAGGCCGATTATATATCTCGAATCGGGATTCGTAATTCCTTTATACAATTCGGTATCTTTCGACACGGTATCCAAAAAAAAAAAAAAAATCGAAAAAATCTGAATTTTTTAGCTGTAAAAAGTTTACCCTTGGTGGCCCGCTTTAGCAATTTTGTTTTTTACATGTCTAAACCCATATATACAAGTTAAAAAAATAAAAACTTTTCTCACATTTTTCGCAATGGATTACTCGTTTCGAACCTCAAATTATTGGCCTAATATTTTTCAAATCAGCCGCCATTTTTTAAAGCAGCGGCTCTGGAACGGCGGACAAGGTTCTTTTTACTCAGAATAACATACACTTTCGTAATTTGCAATCGAATTTCGCCTCCGATCAGGTAGAATTTTGGGCCTTGGCTCCAGGGCTATGTATACAACACAATATTATCGAGATAGTCAATTTACTACGATTGTTAAAATAACAGTTAATTTAACAAATGATTAGCTCGTTCCACTGGAGAATGTCCCTTCAGTTTAACAGTTAAGCAATGCATTATATTTAGAGCCTCAGATAAGTTTTAATCCCCAAGAATAGATCGAATAATGTTACAATATTTCCCATACAGGCACTAAATTCATTGAATCATGTATTTAGTTTATTGTAAATAGTATTTGCACATTAAGATTTATATGTAATTTGTATATTATTCTTTATTAAACATAAAAATAAATTAAGTTTTTTAGTAAAAGCTGTTTTAATTCTTCCACCTACTTATATCATGATGATCACAGGTAATGTTGGTAATTAGAAAGCATGGTAAACACAAACCAGCGTTTGAGAAAAAAAAATTCAATTAATTAATCCTGGACCAATCGATATATTATAGATCCAAATTTCTTTAACTATTTTTTTTATTTGATTTTTATTAAACATTTATGGGTTATTATCCTCAAAAAGTATGCAGTAACATTCCGAATAAATTTCATTTTCTAAAAAATAACATACCAATTATTTATCAAAAATATCAAAATGTGTTTATCAATATAATCCGAAAAAACTTAAGGATCTCAGAAGTTTTTTCCAACCTCTTCCTCGCTTTTTAGCAGGGGATTTTTCCGGAGTAGGGGAGCGAGTGGTGAATTAATTCCTGTGTTAAAAGCCGAAGGACTTCAGTACCTTTCTGCTTCATTTAGCTTTTCATAAATTTTTGATTTGTTAAAAAATGTATTATGATATAAGTTCTAAACATGTTATAAGTATCAGAGATTTACGAAATTTTGGTTTATCTCGAAAAAGTACAAAGTAAAGCTTCAAAACACAGAGCTTAGTAAAGGAAAAGGTTGGTCAAGTTTGAAAAAAAAAAAATGAAAATGAATACCGGACATATACCGTAATATACCGTATATTACTCAGAATATCATTTCTTAAACATTAGTACTTCTAGCAAAAATACCATATTTGAATTTAGAGCATTAAATTCTTGAAATATCAGATGAAATAGCTCGGTATACGAACCAGTATTGCTCTATGTTATTGTTACTCCTTATCATGGAGAGATAAAAATTGTTTAAAGTAAGCAGTTTTAAATCGGAAGATATTGCGTGCTGAAGTTGACATGCAACGAAACAGCCTACGTAAAACTGGGCCAAGAATAAAATTAATGAAGCCTTACTTAATTTAAGCCCTTCATAATAATGAAATACGTGACTCTGCATTATTTCTAGGGACAAGACATTTAGAAACGTCTTCAATAATCCGTAACGATCAACAATAAAAATTATATAGTTATAAATAAGTATTCAAAACCTATATTAAAACAAAAATACTACTTAGTATATTAGACCACGGCACAGACAATGCTTTCTCAAATTATTAACATCTATAACTTCGAGAACGGCTTCATCATATCATAACCAATGATTTTTGAATTTACAATATTTTTTTAAAATGGAGTTTTCGATCTGGAGATCGGTAAACTTTGTATATTTAATGAAGTGCTAAAAACTTATTCCCCTTAAATCGTGAGATAATTTTATCAAAAAGTCGAGAAAAAAGGTGGCCTACAAAAATATTAGGCCATTTGGCGTAACTTCGACATGGATTTTCCCAGTCCGAGGGAGAGCGCGGGGGAATTATGCCGAGTTAAAATTCCCACCGGGTACCGGGATTTGAAATCTATTTTTCTATCTAACTTCGGTTATCAGGTTACCGGGCAACGCGCGTAACTTTGACCTGCGGCATGTCAAAGTAACGAAGATATTTATCCCGAAGGAGGCTTAAAAGAAGCTGGATGAGAGATCTCCTCCACTAGCTATAAATAATACATTCAACACAGGAAGGACGCCTATTCCAAGACATGTTAACCTTATATATCTTGACATCACACTCACTGATTGTCGGAATTTCTGACAGGTGTGAGTTTCAAAATTAAGATAATAAAAAATAAATAAATAATTCTATATAATTATCATCAATAATTATCCAATGGCATCCCGAATAATTTAACCCCAAAACATAGTAGCAATACAATTATAAAACATGAATTTCACAAAGGCAAAATCTAAATAAATTCCTTTATTGGTCATATATTATATTGATTTAAGCAAACACCGGTCGGTCCACGAAATACTCGATCTTTGAAAATGAAGGATAGAATTAATAATTATGCGAAATACTGAACATATCATCTCCTAGTTTTATTTACCGTTACCGTAGCTATTCTGCGAGATTATTATAATTATAAAATATTAATTTTATCAAATTCCAGTCAGCACTTCCGCTTACGCACGCGCAAACGTATTTGTTTAGATATACCAACATTTCAGAAATCGTTAGAAATAATTTAGGAAAAAGGTAGGTATTAATAAAAAAAAGTAATATAGTGTCAATTTAATTTAATTCTGTCTGCTACTTTCTCTTATATATGTGCAAGCGTGTTTTCCTTGATACTTCTATATTTCTAAAACCGCACGTTCGATTTGGCTCAAATTTGGAGGGGAGATAGAGATTGGTAATCAGACAATTAAGTAAGTAGCAATTTCATTAAATTCTATCCACTACTTCCAACAAAATACTTCCGCTATAGTTTGAAAACGGCTCGTTTGATTTGACCTAAACTTGGAGAAAATTCGGAGAATAATTTATAAATTACGCAGTGTCAATTTAATTCAATTCTATTTGATAATTAAAATGAATATAAATAATTATTAACAATATAATGACCGTTAAATATAAAAGGCATTGATCGTATAGAAGGGAAGTTAGGTTAATACTATATTTTTACCTGGTTACAGAATTTTACGTTTTATTCAAAATGTTAATTTATACTGTATTGTTTAGACGATTTCAAATGTTACTAGCATGATGTTTATTTCCGTTGTTTAGATTTTGTGTAATTTTCAATAAATTTAAATTAATTTTTACTTTGAGTTTGTAAAAAAAATAATATCTTATTTGTGATTGTTTTCATTTCAACACGTTTAACCAGCTCGTCGTGGTCCCGGTTTCCTCCTTAAATATCAAAGTTGTGTGAACTTCACGCATATTTTTATATTTCAGCTTAATTAGTTTTGTTCTGACTGAAGAAATGTATTGGTCTCGTTAACTCTGAACGAACAAAAACTTGAATTTTTCCTATGGTCTTTTTGTTGTATCCATTTCATGAGTGAAAAAATGTACATGTTAAGTATATATCACTACTGTTAATGCAGAAGCTAATATGAAAAATTTACAGTTTTTGTTGTATTTGTGATTTGAGGTTTATTTCTGATCCCAGTAATTTTATTCTCATGAGGAAATTTTAGATCTGGTAATATAGATATTTTTTAGCCAATGAAAATGGCGAGGGAGCTACACAGACCTTAATAAGCTGACGGTTTTTTATATGTAAATATAAAGGCGTTGTTAAAATAATCGAACATTTATGAGAATTATTTTTTAAACTTTATTTCTTCACAGGACCCGTCAAATAACTTTACATTTGTTTGATGTCTCCCCTTGTCTCCCCCAAAAAATATTTCTCTCCTCTTCTTAAAAACATTGCCTTTCATTTTCTCATTACAAATATAAATATAGTAGTTAAGTTTTCTCTTTATATATTGGCTTAAAAGTCTCTTCATTCGAAACCTGAGAAAATTATAGATCCCTATAAAAATTCATGTACTCCTAACTAGGTGTGCCTCTTAACAACTCACAAACTCGTAAAAATGTGCCTATTTCAAACATTTTGGCGCTCCAACTTAAGCAAAACATAATCAGAGATGTGCGTTGCCTCTTTAACAAAACCTCCATTAATACTGATTAATAGAGCAATCACAAATGGTTTTAACTTTGCGTAAAAAATGCTACGTTTGTTAATTTATATACATTTAACGTTTTAAAAAACTTTCATGTTGATATGGTAAATATAAAGGAATGCTAACATGATATCGGTTCCGTTAAAGGGCATTGCCGTACACTCAACACTCTCTCCTTCCTTTTATCTTCATTGATATGCGGCCGGGTATTGTTTGTATTACGTGTACTCTGTAGGCTTTAGTGTAGAAGGTTGTAAAGAAGAAAGTGTTCCAGGGAAAGTTTACTCAAGAAATTACTATTACAAAAGTGGTTTCTTATATTATGCAAAATCGGAAAGAAAAAAAAAATAGATAGTTACATAGGACAAAGACGTTCATGACATAATAGTGTGTATTCAACGAATTCGTTACTGCTAACATTATATCGACAGTTATAGCATTAATCTATTAACCAATTACACTTATAGTCTAAAGAATGAAGTTGCAAAACATTTTTATCGATTTCACAGTGGTATCTGAAATATTGAATGAACCGGGCCGTTATAAACTATATAGATGTTTTCCGGACTACATTTCTAATTCAATAATCGGTTTTTCATAAAAATTCAAATCAAAGCTATATTTTTCTAAACATTTTTTATTCAAGTATTCCACAAAAGCTCTTATTCTGAAGTTTTGAACTTCCATTGTGCCTCATATATATCATGCACAGTTAAAAAGTATATTTTTAAAAATCTAAACGTTATCAGATGTTTTTAGATATTTCGTCCTCAACTTCTGACTTTATAAAAATCGGTCTTCAACAGTTTTTCATCCACGTCATTGTACTAGAGATTCTTTATGTGGATAATATTTTAACACAAAAAATATAACGGTTCCTATCTAATGTTTTATAATGATTTATGAGTATTAATACAGTCTGCCACATTGAAGGGCAGTGGTACTGAGACTTTAATATTCATTCACACATTATGTACATAAGAAAGGAAAATAAATATAAATGACTAAAGTAAAAAAACAAAACAAATATGAATAAATAAAAATATAAAGTAAATACGATAAAGAGAATTAATATACGTATATACAAATAAAATAAAAGATTGAAGCTGAATGATAATAAAATAAATAAAACACATTCACTCCGTAATTAAAACACAATGTACAATATTTACATTGGCCCAGGAGACTCTGAATCAAGTTTTTTTCTCTCAAATGTGGAAGCCAAAGCAGGACTCCAGGAGATCCTAGTGCTTCTCTCCCAGCCGTGTCACTGGTATTGCAAGCCAGTAGAGAGTGATAAAAGAAACTACAGCAACAGACGGTCAGGACTTGAGTGGAGAATCTAGCCAATGTCAGTACTACAATATATAAATATTTACAAAAGGTCGCAGGGCCACTGCCGTTTTAATCTCCGAGAAGGATTGCAGGGATGGCTGGAGCTAGAGATTGTGCTACAGGATTAGGATGATGAGTGAGGTTCTGGTGAAATTTGGAAAAAATTTCTGGGAATAGGTCAAGTATAAATGGGATATTAAGGTCATTATGTAGTGTTTTATTGGTTAAATAGAAGGGAGCATCGACCATTATTCGAAGACCTTTAGACTGGACAACTTAACCAACTCTCACATCTTCTGGATTCAGATCCTCACTTAAGTTACGAAACTAGTGTCTAATCTATTAAATCTACAATACTATGTGAAATTAAAAATAATTTTATTCTGCGACCAAAGTCTCCTAAGAATAATAATAACATGGTAAAAAACATTGGTCTCTTAGTCTGGTTTGATAGAATACAAAGAGGTCATTTAAATGTTAATTTCAGTCGCTATGGCAATCATACTAGGACAACAATTGAAGACAAAGTAACACTAGTACATTTTATATGGATCACATGTATATAAAGAAAAAAAATACGTAAATCAAATGAAATCAAATGGAAGTTGTCGATTAATTGTTAGTGAGCAGTTGTAATTACAGAATCTAATAAGTATTACATAGGTACGGAAGTTTCAAAATGAAGTAGGTGGTGGAATAACAGCAGTTTGAAGGAATTTAAGGATGAAGATTGCCGTTTGGTGATAGGGAAAGAATTCCAGAAGGAGGCACGAATGACGAAGGCTTTGCTGAAGGATATAGTTTTATGAGAAGGAATACATAAATCAATAGGTTAAGATCTGATATTAATAGAGCGGATATAGGAACGTAGAGTGAGGAGTTTTGTGGTTTAGGGAGGATTTTTGATTCTTAGGACCTGGAAAAGAAGATAGGAGTGGGAAACAAGATAACTACTGGGAATTCCAAAGATGAATCTTATAAAACAGTTCATAAGTCTCTTCGATTTTACAACCGTAGTCGAAGTGGGAGAAAACGAGAGAGATTACAAGGAGCTGTCTGATTTTTTGAGGAATAGAATCATGGTATCATAGGAGTTGTTTAGGAGTGGACAGTTATGGATTTTCGGGTTATCAGGGAAATATTCAAGGAAAGGTTGTGATGAAAGATAACTCCTGGATTTTTGACTGTTGGGAAAAAAGAAATGGACAGTTATTGGGGTAGAGTCGAGGAGAGTAAGGAAGGGAACTAATGAGATGTGTGGACCCTATGAGAATAGCCTTAGTTTTATCTGTGTTCAGCTTTAACTTATTTTTTTCTGCCCATCCGTTGATGCAGTCAATATCCTATTGTAGCTTTTGTGTAGCCTCAGCCATCTCAGAAGGTTGGAAAGATTTAGGAAGGTTGGTAAATTTGGAAATCATCGGCGTACAAGTGATAACGGGAGTGATTAATGGTGAGTGAGGAACCCTAAGGACTATTTACTATCACCACTATGCTGAGACAATTTGGAAATTCAGAGCTGAACTTTACAGTTCAGAAGAACAAAAAAAGAAAAAAATAATTTACAAGACAATAAAAGATACTACGAAAAAATTTTATGCAGCATGATATATTTCAAATATAACTACTTTAACTCTTCAAAAGTAAAATTTTACATCAATGATCTCATTAAAATTTTATCATCTAAATCCACTCGTTCCTCCTTCTTTTAATTTTCTCAACTTGCTCAATGTTGTACTTGTTCGATGCAGATTTAAAAGCACAAATATATGATCCTTCGTCAATAACTAAATTGAAATCGTTTTTAAACAAATTTGTAAAAAACAATTAGTTTAATCAAATTTACTAGATGCGCTACTGCACAGTTGCAAATGTAGTAGGATATTAAAATAAAAACAGTATTGTAAAAACCTAGAAGAAAATATGTTACAAGCATATAAATATAGCAAATAATAATTCCATCATCTATGGGCCCTCCGTGGTTGGATAACTTCGGAATGATCGTGACATTATAGCTGCAACTGTAAAGAGATTTAAAACGGTAATCAGTTGGCAACTCCTTCCCAGGGACACTTATTCAGCCTAGCGGTAGCCACAGGAAGTGGAAAAGAGGAAGTCGCCCAAGACATGGTGGAATCTAAATGCCACTACATGTCATCCATGATAAGTAGCTAGCTCATTATGATAATAACAAACATTGAAGATTATAATCGAGGCCTTTACGAACAAAGCTGTGAAAACTGAGTTGGAAACAAAATGATAAAACTGAATTATAAGCATATAATATACAATAAAAAAACTGACAAAATATGCAGTCATAAAACATAACTTTATGTCAGTGTCAATGTTTAATGTAATTTAATTAGTAACAATCTCTTCTGTAACCATGGCCGGAAAACACAAGCACCTGTCTCGGGACTCCGAAATGAACGGGGGGAGGGGAAATACAAATGAGTATCAGTTAAATTAATTTAAACTTATTAATAAAGCATTTGTTTAGGAAAACGTTTAATGAAATATAGCAATATATAATAACTTAAGAAATTCGGATATAAGTTTACAACAGTGCCGAACGGATTATGTGTGGTTCAGAATCACTTTGGTCACACTTGTTCATGGACTGCAAAGATAGTGAAATGCTATCTTATTTTGTGACGTCAGCTCTTGTCCAAAATATTTATTTACAAATTTGTTGGTTATTAGTTGGTCAGTTCGTCATTATTACATATAGTATCGAAATTATTTATAAATCACATGATTATATGTATATCTGTATTATATATTAAATCGTAGTGTGGATTTATTTTCAGGATTTTAGGTGTGACGAATTTCATCTCGGATTCTTAAATTTCTATAATAGTTTTAATTGCCATTGATAAAATTAGGTTTTAAAACTCAGATGGTCTCAAAATTACCAAATCGAAACGTGATCAATTGTTTAAAGATTTCGAGACGATCACCAATATCCGGTCGTAAGTTTTAAATCTCGATGGTTGTCATCGTAATTGCTATAGTTTCCGTGGGATACTTATCATTAGTGTTCTCCAAAATCGGTATTGGTCTTGAACTTTGACCAAGCCCGCCTAACTGCTGTAAGTCCAAGACCAAGACTGGTAGAAAATAATTGATTTTTTAAATAAAAATTAAGCCATATTAGTTATTAATTCTTGACAATTTTAGTTACTATATCGAAAGAATTAGTATACCCAATATACTTTTGCATTTAACTCTTCTAATTGAAAAATTGTGAAAATTGAAAAGTGAAAAAATGTGAGATTTCCGAATGAAAATTCGGAATCACTAGCGTATCGAGGATTTAATTTTAGGGGGGGGGGCCTTCAGCCCGAAAGATTTTTTTTCACACACACACACACACACACACACACACACACACACACAATATATATATATATATATATATATATATATATATATATATATATATATATATATAAACGATAATTAATTTGAAAAAAAAGAAAGAAATTAACGACCTATATGAAACGGTTTTTAAGTGGTTCTTGAATTAAATATAATTACACGAACATGGATAGTTCAAGAGGTAGTTTTTAATATTTTTTTCTCTAAAACATGGTTATATTTTACCACTTTGGAGAGGGCTTCCACCCTGAAGCTTCCTCCCCCCTCCCCCCAGAGATCCGCCTTTGTTCGGGCTTAGGTTTTCTCTATCTAAAAAATTACAGTAATATCTCTGTAGTAATAAGTTAATAGGTTCGAAGACCCTCCGCAAGACCAAGACTCGTATTTGTTTCGAATTTGGGCAACACTACTTTTCATGTGTTTAGGTTACAAAAATTAAAATATTACTTTTGTCTATTGTATCATGTGAACTAAAGATCCATCGAAAATAAAAATGGAAGAGAATAATCCTATAATTCCTTGAGCTTTTTCAATAGTATAGAAAGAAACTTTTTTATGAAGTAATAAAACAAAATAATATCCTGGTATGGATTCTATACTCCTAGTAATATACTTCCAATCTCTAAAAACCCTCTAAAAAAATAAAAATAAAAACCCCAAAGCTTCTAATGCACTAAATAGTTCTTGAGCGAGTACAATAACTGCTTAGTATAAGTTCAGGGATATTTGTTGAGTTTAAGTTGAGTTTTATTGTTTGACTGTTAAACTGAAGGGGCATTCACCTGTGGAAGAAGCTAATCACTTGTTAAGTTAATTGTTAGTTTAACAGTAGTCGTAAGGTATTAAGTTTCGCCAATTATTTTCGAGATATACCATAATTATAGCTGAAAACCTCTTAAATAATAAGGTTGCTTTGGGATACTTATATGTTTTAGATTTACGTTATAAAAAATATTCGGATAGATTAGTTTAAGTTCAGGAATAGAGTTATGTCTTATAGCTTAACTAATTAAATGGAAGCGTAGTTTCCAGTTTCAGAAGCTGATCCCTATGTATGGATACTGTTACTTTAAATTTTGTAAGTTAAATGGACTATCTTAATAATATTAATATTGTATGTGCAATTAAACGCGTTCTGCTTATATTGCATATACGTCGAATACATTAGAAAGATATATTATTATTTAATGTAAAATTTCAAACTGGGTTTGATATCATAATGATGAAAAATAACAGTTTAAGCTATGGATCGCCTTTTAGATTTATTTTAATTTACCGCATTTCTATAATATCAAGGGGTTCATTCTAGGGTTATCAGAGATCTAATTTATGAGAATATAATCATTTCCAGACTTTATTATCGCGTACAGATTTATTGCAACGTTCCGTTTTCTTTGACATTAGAGTCCATTATTATATTATGGAGGCTCATTTCATGAAAATACTACCAATTTTAATGGGTGATAAATATTCAGGACGCGGTCATTATAAATTTTTATTAGTGCCGATGTTTCAACCCAAACATGTGGTTCATCACCAAGGCTTGTTCTGAGGTATTCGAGTACTGAAGGTATTCAAGTACTGGTATTTGAGTACTTGAATATCTTCAGTGCTCGAACCACCCACTCCCCCGCCTTGATGATTACCCACATGTTTGGGTTGAAACGTTATTTCATTTATAGTTATATGAAAGTAAAAAAAAATCATTTTACATTCCACATTTTATTCAGGGTTGAACCTAATGACCATTTTTCTTACTCCTTTCCAGATCATCTCTGAAATGCGGGAGTAGGATGTCCTGATGGTATTTACGACCAACCTAATCTTCCAGAGTAAGAGGGTGGAGATTCATTTCTTGAAGGGTCCGGCCCAAAAAAAGATTTTAACCCACTCAAGCCAGGTTCGAACCAGTGTAACTAGAATCGAAAATGATAAAGCGGTGTGTGCATGAACTTAGGTCACCAAAGCCCCAAGCTCATTGCCGTTAAGACAGATACTGTATTAAGCATTTATTATAACAAATAAATATTTAAGTAATTTAATTATTATTACCTGTTCCTTCCACAGGCGTGACTGGTTCTGAATCCTGTTTTTCTTCTTGGCAGTAGTTGTTCGAATCCTTGCTCTCTGCCGGCCAAGCCGATATCCATTTCCCGCTGAAATAGTTTAAAAAAATAGATTAATAAATTGGTGGAAAATGTGAAACAGATATGAAACGAAGAACATAAGGTTTTGCGTTCAGGACGGAATAAAGAATGAAATATACGTTTTAATATATTACGCTGCACAAGGGTAGGAAAATGCATAAAAACTTAAAACTATTAAGTAAGATATTGTGAATTAGGGAATGTTTTATACCATGTTAGTTCTTTTGAATTTATATAGACTAAAACTATTTTAGTAAAAAAACTCGTAATTATTATTGAAGGAAGTTATTCGTCTGTTCTACATATCATGTAGTGTTGCCCAAAATCGGTCTTGGTCCTGCACTTAGCAAGACCAAGATCAAGGCCGCCTAACTGTTGCAAGACCAAGACCAGGACTGAAAAAAAATCGATTTTTGAAATAAAAATTAAGGCAATATAGTTACTAATACTTGACAATTTTAGTTACTATATGTTAATAATCAATAAACTTTTGCATTTAACTCCTGTAATTTTTCATTCGAGCTTACTTATTTTTCTCCTATCTAAAAAATTACAGTAATATCTCTATAGCAATTAGCTAATAAGTAACTGCAAGACTGTTGCGAGACTCTTGCGCAATTCCATGAACATGACCAAGACTGAGTTTGCAAGACCAAGACCCGTCTCTGTCTCGCATTTGGGAAACACTAATATCATGGATGATAAATATTCAGGACGCAGTCTTTTTTTTTTTAATTTTTGATTTTTTATTTATGCCTGATCATGTGGTATAAATAAAAAAATTAAATATTTAAAAAAAAAGACTGCGTCCTGAATATTTATCACCCAACGTAATTATTATTGTTAACTTTTACCAATAAATAAAATACATTTTATATGTCATGAGTTGTAAAAATGAAAAAGTATAAGATTTTTAATCGAATTAACTATAAATATCTGTTAGATAGACCAGAAAAAAATAAATTGGTACGATAAGCAAAGCAAATCAGCCTACAAATAAATTAAGATAAAACAAATTATATAATATCGAGCTCAAAATAACATTTCAGGATCAATTTTCAGTCACAGAATTCGTTTGAATTTCTCTCGAATGTGATCTTAGAATTCCTTTCATTTTATTTGTTTCTACAGGGAACGAGATAGGCTCAGTGGGTGAGCACTGAGGTTTAGAGCTACAAGTCCCAGGTTCGAATCCGGCTGGTGACTAGTAACCTTTCATTATCCGTGGGTCGACTCTGGGGCCGGAAGACCCTCCTGTAATCCAAACCTCTATAAAGCGGGTACTGTTAATTAAATAATTAATTAAGGGAGGAAACCTGGCAGTTGAACGGGATATTGGCCCATCACCTCTCTGCACAACCGTTGGTCTTTAAACAGTTCTCACATTGTAGTGAACACGTAACCCTTCATGGGTTGTTAGTAACGAGGGACAAGTTTTTTTATTTTTTATTTGTTTCTACAATTTCTACAATTTTTCTCCAAATTACTATGACAGAAAAGAATAAATGAATATTAAATATAAATTTATTTATGTATTCGTAAGAATTTTATCTTTTTCGGTTTTTTAAAAGCTTTCTTGTCTGAATTCGTCGAATAATTACTAAAACTGCAGATTACCACAGCTGACTTTTATGTTCATTATTCAGTATTTTTATTCATGTGTAAATTGTTGGAATATGTGAGCTAACTATATCCCACATTAAAAAATCATAACACTTTGAAAATAGGAGATTTCTCAAATCTTAGACTACTGCGACGTACAGTGGAGGCGAAATAATCTATCGCTGACCATGAATTAGTGAATTATAATGAACTTTTAAAATCAAAGCCTTGCACTAAACTAAAACGTGTAATTACAATTCATTTAAAATATATTAAAAATAATATATATCCGAAAATAATAATATTTAATATAAAAATAATAATATAGTATCCGAGTCTAATCTCAAACAAATCGAAAATTCTAATCTAGGCCATTAATTTCATTTAAACAAGAAATCATAGGTAAAATGAACTCAATCATACTTGTTTTTTTCTTATTTACTAGCTTTGCATTTAAAAAATTAACATATTGCAGAAACAACACTTGAAGATCTTTGGGTACTAAACCAAACTTCTCTTACGCCCAACTTGAGTGGTTTCAATCCAATTTAGCATCTGTGGTATTTTCGTTTATTTTGCCCATTCATCTGGTTTTAGAACACTTGATGTTCTTGATCCCTTGCCAATAACACTCACCTTCGTTCCAGTGTTTAGACATTCCATACATGTCTTTAAATATTAAGTGCCTAAATTCTAGCTACTTCCAGTGCTTTGAAAGCATGGGATTTAAACTGTTTTATGTGTCCCGATCACGATGATTAGAGAGAAAAATTAAGAAATAATAATTGTTATTCATTTTTTTTTTACTTTAATTTTTTATTCACACCTGTGATAATGGTAATAACAATCAGTGAATGTGAGGTCGATCGCTAAATATAATGTCATGAAAGGCGTGAGGAGAATCAGTGCCCAGCGGCACCTCACTTGGCGTCATATCTACATTAGGCGAGGAGGTCCCTCATTCAGCTCCTCTTCAGTCTCCTACAGACGTTAACTGGGATATCCGTAGTGACCATGTCATTTACGAGTGCATCAGGAGTCCTTGTAAGTTGACGTGGATTCGTTTGTTGTCCTGAATGGTTTTTCTTGAAAGATTTGAAGTTTGTTTATGTGAATCTTTTTAGCTGTTCCAAATATCTGTGATGCGAAAGTCGAAATAGGTTTTAGTAAGTAATTGTAAGTGTTCAATTTCTGTCAAAGTTTTAGTTTTGATTGTTTCGGAAAGTTCACAACAGAATGGGAAGATCGAGATTCATTTCCAGATCGGCTTAGTGAGCCAAACATAAGTATATTAACAACAATACATTTTTAACATTTGGCTAAACGGAGTATAATCTCTTTAATATTTAAATTCTAAAAAAAATACCTTAGTATATTAAAATAATATTTCTATATCAGGACACATTTTTTTCCATAGTTATATTTTAAAAAACATATAAAATTAATTGTTGATTTCATGGAACAACCGTCTTCCCTTCTATAAAATTATTAAACAAATTCTAAATCTATTATGTATGTATTTGGTTTTATGTCTAATATTAAAATATACCAGTATACACTATCCATGTAGAGATTTCTAGATATTATGTAAGCCCGGGAATATCTACATGGATTTTTGTTTTCATTTAAAGTTTTCGGATTTGAGACGTATTTTTGAACCCAAATCAGATTTTCTGTAATTTTTTTTTTTTTCCGTCCTTCCCTTCGTTGCCGTTAAGGCTATACGGGGTTTTTCCGGCCAGGGAGTGTGGGCGGGTATTTAAAAAGCTCCCTCGGCACCGTGACGCGAACTCGTGACTATTTTATATCATTTGATTGATATATCAGGTTGCCGGGCAACGGTGGTGCTGTGCACACGCGTTAGCCCATTCGGCCACCCCGCCCACTTCTGTAATTGCTTATTCACTATCGAAGGAAGGACTACTGCCGTTACCTGATTGTAATGAAATTTTCAGCGATAGTGTTGATTGGTACTTAGATTGCCCCATATCAACTTTGTACACACGTTGACATATTTTCCATGCCTACATATACGTGCCAATATTTTAAAAAACGACTCGCTCTATTTGGGTGTAGGTCGAAGAAACATTTGAAATTGACAAAAAAAAAAAATATAATCTACAAATCTAAGGAATTAAATCCACAATTTCCTGTTAAATGTAAGCAAACGTATTTTCCTTGATATACCTTTATTTTAAAAATCGCACGTTTCATACAGTCCAAAGTTGAAAGGAAGTTATGGACCTGTTAAAAATTAACGAGGAGGAAATAAAATTTGAAAATAATAATATTATGTATATAAATAATTTTCCCCTCCAATAGTTTCAGTTATGTAAGTGCTTCAGTATTTCTCTTTTTAAATCTATATTTTAAAAATAATTCGTGGGTTTAGTCTAAAGCAAGGATATAGTGTACAAAACTAAGGATAGTCTATTGAAAGTATCATCAAATTCCATTTATTAATTCAAATGAATGTACTAAATTGTTAGAAAAATAATTTCTGTGAAATGTGGTATGCAGTGGACATATGAAAAGGGAATTTATATTTATACTATAAATAGCGGTTACATAGGAGTACATAGAGGTTATAAGATTATACACTGTATTACAATATTTATATGGATATGAAGCCAACCGTCGTCAATAAGAGAACGGGGTGGCCGAGCGGGCTAACGCGTGTGCGAAATACGCGATGCTCGGCTAACTGATAAACAAAAAATTACAAGTTTAAATCAAGGTGCCGATGTCAATTTTTTTAAAACTCTGTCATTTATCTTTCGCTCTCACCCCGCTACCTTGGGAAAACCCCGAATAGCCGTAGACAAAAGAGAAGAAAAAAAAATCCATTTTATCAATTCCCATCCACTTCTATTAGACTTGTTCTTTTCCGTCACAGGAATGTATTTAAAAACGGCTTTTCCTGTATATTTTATTCAGACAACAATAAACCATAAACATACAGGTATAGTTAATTTTAACCAATAAGAATCGTGAGGAACCTATGCTATTTCTTCTTGCCATACATATTTTTTTCTCCTAAAAATGCAATAAAATATCCTGAAAGGAGTCCTTTTTCATTGAATTATTCTGAAAGGGAGGTATATGTATGACAAACTTTGTCATGATTTTAAAAAAATTTAATATTATATAAAACTTTATGTACCACCTATAGACTTTCATTAGGGGCTAAAATGAGGGACCGACAAATGGGATCGAAAAAACAAAAATACGTCTGCCATGTAGAAATAGTGTAACTTCCTCACGATTTATAATGGAAAAATATTTACTATATTTCTAGGTATATATCATTAACAGAATAAAATCTACAGGAGAAGACGTTTTTGAAATTTGTTGAAATCGACGGAAAAACGCACGCCTAAAAAAAAAAGAAAAGAAATTGATGGAAT